CATTGTACTTTCGCTGTCAAACAATCCAGCTGATCTCTCCACAGCAAGAGGTATTCTAGACTCCTAAGTATGAAAGCCGATCAATAAGTATATAGAGAAGGATAAAATTCTTCAAATATTTTTTGCATCATTATCATAACTCTTTAAGCAAGCTGGACTACAAGCGATCTTTTCGGCAAATCCCTTTTCAATAAGCCATAAAATTTTTGCGAGTGACCTTGTGCTTCTGCATCATTTGTTGCGAAACGGGTCTTCGGGCGAAACAATTCATGACCATTCATGTGAAAATGTGTTCCGGCTACAAGCTCATTTTCATGCAAATGAAACATAAGACTCGTTTTGAAACAGAGGCACAAGATAACTCCCAAAACTTGAAACTATTATACACAGTGCCGTTAGTACAGGGACAAATATTGCCAAGCTGTGGCTTTCCTTGTGTCTGAATTACCTAACTACGCTTAAATAATATGAACGCAACACTATCACAATTTAATTATATTTTTTTCTCACCTCCACAAATTCAACCTGTTCCTGTATAGTCTGAAATATTTTCTCCTTGTTACTTTGCACGTATCTTCGGAAGCACTGCCTCAGTTTTCTCGCTTCACCTCCTAACACCACTCCATAAGCCGTAGAATAGTCGTAGATCTTCATGAGCCGAAGAGAAGGATTTTCAAATAAATCTTTCCTGCTTCCTAACACGTAAGTATCTATCAATGCTCCGCTCACTTCCCCGTTCACTAAAGCCGCGGAGATTTCATCATAACTTGTGTACGATCCGCCTGAAAGTAAAAGAACAAAAAAAGATTAACAATTCTGGCCGTTTGAGCGCTCGTTGTTAAATAACGTTCAATACCTTTATTTGATTGTTCGTTTGTTCATTTTGGTTATGACAAGTTAAAAACGATCCATCTTGAAAGCTTCCAATCCTACAACCTCGTTCCCAGGGTCTCTCATCTTACCGCCCCCTGGGAACGAGGTTGCCAATCCTAAAAGTCAGGAAAAGTAATAACTACTTATTAACAGAGAGTGAGATCTTCACGGGTCGCTGTTCTCCTGGAATTAAATTGTAGCTCGTCAGGCTATTAGAATCCATTCTCAGAGTGTTCCTCGTCACTCGCCGTTTTCAGCCACTACAATTTTTAGGGGAAAAAAGCAATAACTCTTCTATAATTACCTTTTGCTTTGTTTTTGCACGCCCCTAATCGAATAATGCCTTAGAATAAGCCAATCAGAGGGCGCGTTATAACACAGCTACAAACGCAAGCCATGTAATAATTAAATGTGAAGTACAACACCGTCCTTCAACTCAAATTTAAGAAGTTGAAAACAAGCAAATTAACGCTCTCCAGTTACTTGAAGACTTTCAAGTACTGGAAATAATTAACCTATCAGGAATTTAAACTTACCAGGATTAAGTTGAGCGTTCCGTCTCAGTCCAAAGCGATATTCAAACGAATCCTGAATAGCAGCAATCTGTAAAGAGAAACAGTGAATTACATTGCCATAACCCTACAAATCAGGAGATAAGATTGCATTTTACACTATAGCTAATGACTAAAATATTGAACTCATACAGTTACCAGCAAATATACAATTCCTTTGATTGTATTATATATCGATCGTTTTGAAGTATCTTTCATCCACGTGCTCCAATTTTAACACAATGATTTAAAGAAAAATGTTATCCTTGTTTGGCCATGCGACCCTCATTTACATCAGCTTACGTTTGGGAACAGAATGTTAAATCATGTCAGCCAGTACGTTGATCTGCACCTTTTAAAAACCTTTGATTCGTTTTTATTAATCTGCATATTTTTTTTTCTTCGGGCTGAGGGTATTGTTTGTGTTATTTATCTATTGTTTCGTTTGGCCATAGCAATCTCGTCCCTAGACGTCTCATGTCGCCCTCCAGGCTCTCTGCCTTTAGCTTTCATATTTGTAAACAGCATCGAGAAGAGCCAAACGGACAAAGTTGGCAAGAAAATCTAAGACAGTAGCCACAAAAAACGTCTAGAACCTCTGATTTCCATTTGTGACGAATGACGCAATGATTGCCTTTACAAGTAGAATTTGGACAACTGTGTTACCTTGTTACCGTACAGCTTGAAATCCACATCAAGAGACTGGGAAACGAGAGACATTGTTACTGCGGCAACAAACAAACCCTGAGTAACCAGGCCTGACAGCATCCAGACAACCGTCAATACACGAGCCATGGGAGATGTGGCGAACTTATCACCATACCTGCAGAGAGATTAACGTTACAAGAACCCATAACCTGAACAGTTCCTCTTAGTCTAGATATAAACTCTACTTGCCTCTTCACCTTCCCCTTCGGTTGATGAAACAAAATAAATCTTGTGACCTACAGTACTGTTTATAGCCTGTAAGTTGTAGTAAAGAAGGCAAAAGAAGACAAAAGAAGACAAACATTTTATTGCAATTTTCTAGTAAAACTCTTTAATTCTATTGTTTTAAAGGTCAC